GGGCAGGGACACCTTCCACTAGAGCAGGTTGCTCCAAGCCCCTGTGTCCAACCTGGCCTTGAACACTGCCAGGGATGGGGCAGCCACAGCTTCTCTGGGCACCCTGTGCCAGCGCCTCAGCACCCTCACAGGGAAGAGCTTCTGCCCAAGAGCTCATCTCAATCTCATCTGAGCACCTAGGACCAAAACAGGCGCATTGCACACACTCTCTGACACCCAGGTACAACCTTCCTCCACTTACGGCTGTTCTTCAAACCACAGTGGATGGCAGAAACAGTGTCTTTGCACCAAGATGCATCATCACAGAACAGGGCTTCTCTTCAGCTCCAAATATTGTCCAAACTTGCTCTGATTTCTTCATTTGTTTCTCCAAGCAAGGATTTAAAGCAGAAAGTTGGAGAGGGAGAGCTGCCTCCTGCTTTGACACCGCTGCCACAAAAGTGCTCCATCTCCAACTTCGCTTTGTACTTCACAGCAATGGGACTTGAAAGACACTTTTCTTTAAGAAACACTTGGAAACGAGAGAGATAAGACATCAGCTTTAGGCAACACTTCAGTGACAGCACTCAACAGGACCCCAGCCTTCAGCGTGCGTGTGTGTGATATTACAGATGTATTTCCACCTCTCTCTGTATATAGAGATGTTGATGCAGCGAATTAAAATCAAGCTGTGCTTTATACTTCCGTTTGTGATGGGACCATTCCTGGCTCCAAGGAGAGAGCTTTCAGCCTCTGAACAGCAGGAGCGAGTGGAGAGAACAATTGTCTTCTGCCAAAGACAAATACAGTACAAGGAAAGAACGGCCCTGAAAGATGATGAATGTTTCAACTTCCTTGGCTGCAGGAGCCTGTTCTTCATTAGCCGCTCCACTGCCTTTTCTTTCCCCTCTTTCCTTTCCCCTTTGGCTCTGTACATGTGCCTGTGTATCTGAAGCCATGTGGTCCCAGTTCAGGTGTCCACCCCCCTTCTCTCTCCCACCCTAGGATGCAGCTTTAGATGAGAAAACCAGAAAGAAGATGGTTTTACATGTTATGTTTGTCACCTCGTGCCGCATCCCAGGGGCAGAACCTGCCTGATGCCACGACACCCGCAGCAAACCCAGTGCAAACTTGATGCACCTCCAAATGCAGGTCCCTGGAGCCAAGGAGGATGCTTCTTGTCCTAAGGTAACTTCCACAGAAAAACCCCCCAACATCTGAATCTCACTGGAAGCCACTCAACCACTGGGATCAATCCCCTGTCCCCTCCATTGACCAGCTCTTCTTCGTGTCCCGCTTCATCCCTTGGAAACCCTGCAGACACCAAGCAGGGTAGAAGCCCGTGGAGATGCTGTGGGGCAAGATCTGGCCTCTTGCTGTGGCTGTTGCTCCCCAGGGTGACTGGGCAGGACAGGGCACAAGTGGGATAGATGAAGGACCGATGGCTCCATTTCACAAACTGAGGGGAACCAAGGCACAGGACCACCACAGGGGAGCTTTCCCCTTTCCCCTTCACCAAGCACATGCTGCCTGAGCAAGACTCCATTAGCCAAGAAGGTGCCTTTGGTGCTGAAGACATGGTGAAAGGCTTCAGTTTTTCAGGTCTCCTACTATCTCTTTCCAAAGATACCCAAACTGGCAGCAGACCCCCTTATAATGGGGAAAGGTTCACTTGGATGGGCTGAAAGCTCAACGAGTCATGAGAGGTACTCGGGAGCCTTCATGCCCAACTCATCCTTTTAATGGATTTGCAGATGATGAGGCAGGGGAGAAAGGTCAAGGACTTGAGGGTCTGGTCCCTAGAAATCCCGGCAGCAATCCAGCGGTTAAGACTGAGCAGAGGATTTCATGGTCATCTGCTGCCATCTGGTGTCAGCCGGGCACCCAAACCTTGATTTGATACAATCCCAGAATCCCAGAGTGGTTTGTGTTGGAACGACCTTAAATCCCATCCAGTCCCAACCCCTGCCACGGGCAGGGACACCTTCCACTAGAGCAGGTTGCTCCAAGCCCCTGTGCCCAACCTGGCCTTGAACACTGCCAGGGATGGGGCAGCCACAGCTTCTCTGGGCACCCTGTGCCAGCGCCTCAGCACCCTCCCAGGGAAGAGCTTCTGCCCAAGAGCTCATCTCAATCTCTCCTCTGGCAGGTTCAAGCCATTCCCCTTGGCCTGTCCCTCCATCCCTTGTCCAAAGCCCCTCTCCAGGTCTCCTGGAGCCCCTTTAGGCCCTGGAGCTGCTCTAAGGTGTCCCCTTCAGGAGCCTTCTCTTCTCCAGCTGCCCCAGCCCAGCTCTCTCAGCCTGGCTCCAGAGCAGAGCTGCTCCAGTCCAGTCCTTAGAGCATCTTCAAAGCCTCAAGTCCTGCCCATATCATGGACCCCACACACATCTTAAACTTGTGGATACATCAGGATGCTCATCATCCATATCCGCTCCCTGTGCCCATCTCAGGTTAGACAAAGCCAGCAAACAGACCGTTGTGCTTCACCCCTAAATTCCACCCTCTGCTCCAAGCAGGGGGCCAGCTTGCAGCCCAAGGGCAGAGGAGCTGGGCTGGGCATGTTGGAGGGCTCTTCTCAGCACTGGTGCTCAGCCTGAGGAAAAGGGATGTGATGGGTCATTCTGTGCCATAGCAAAGCTAATCTGCCTCAAGAAAAACCCCCTGGTACATGCAAGGACATCTCCCAGGCAGAGAAATGGGCTTTGAGAAGGGCAAAACCATCTTTGAGTACTCACTGTGCTGGTGAGCAGCGTCTTAGAACAGAATCATAGAATCAAGTAGGTTGGAAAAGACCTTCAAGATCACCAAGTCCAACCTTTACTCCAGCACTGCCAAGGCCACCACTAACCCGTGGCACCGAGGGCCTTGTCTACACTTCCAGGGATGGTGATTAAACCAGTACATCTTTGCAGGACCCCGAAGACCAGAAACTGGGGATTCTGTCAATTCCTTTCTAGCCTGAATAGTCCAAATTTAGCCCCCAGTGTGAATGTCCTTGCTCTGCTCTCTTGTATAATTGCAAAGGGTAGATTCCCCATCTCTCCCCACTGGCAACAAGGGGGGACAAAAGGGGGTGCGATGGCCAGGTAAGTGACAGCAATGGGCAAGAATCCAAGCCCAGGGACATTGCATCAGCTTGATGTGGTCATTCAATTGGTGGTGTCACAGAAAGGTGGGTTTTTGAGTGCTGTGCTGTCATCCCTCACTTTGTCATTAAGTTAAATGGTCCAAATCATTGGGAAAAGTTTCTTCCAAGCACTTCATCATCAGTGACTTCTCCAAACCCTCTCCAACTGTTTAACCCTCTGTTGACACCTATACTGGACTGTAGAAGGGAAGGCATTCATAGGCAAGAAATAAGGTTTCCCCTCTCCAGGAGCTCTGGAGGCTCCTCCTCAAGTCTGACCATGTCAGAAGGGAAACCACTAAAAAGAATGGGACCTTGGGAAGGTTTAAGGACCAGTTCATTTATATCGTTCTCTGGAGGTCACCTGAGGAGGATCTCAAGAGGTCCCTTTCAACCTAAATGACTCTGATTTTCTGACTTGTTATCAGAGGAGATGCTGGATCCCAGATCCAGCCTGGGTATCCAGCAACCAAGCAAGATACGGAGGTATCAGAGATGCTTCAGGGAAGACCCTTGTGATTGACCAAAGACTTTGAAGCAAAGCCTGGTCATAAGAGAGTTAAGGGAAGCTTAGGTTAAGGTGGTCATAGCCACATCCTGCATCAGCAGCCCCATTTTTAACACTGGGCATCATGAAACACCACAAGAGTTTCCTGAGGGTTGTCCCTGAGCCTGCACCGTGAACAACCTTTACATTGGCTGGACGCATCTCAGGAAGATCTATCCCAGGTCAGAGGGGATCCACCCCAGGGAAGTTGACCAATTGGACCAACCATCCCAGGTTTGAGGGCTAACAGAGTGGTCTCCAGGGACCTGTGTGCACCGGTGTGGTTGGACACCCAGAGACCTTGGTGTCTAAAGGCTGGTGTAAGTTCTGGGCAAGAGAAGAGACAGAGGAGCCAGGGGACTGTACAAAGCCTTTGTTCTCACTTCAGCCCCTGACAGAGCCGCGTGTCAAGTCACAGGACGGTAAAACACTGTGCGGGTCAACAGCACCTTTCATCTGAGGATTGTAAAAGCCCTTTCAAGACATGAGTTTGTTAAACCTCACAACACCCCTGTGAGGTAGGTATCACCCCCCTATTACAGACAGGGGGGAAACTGAGGCACAGAGAAATGCAATGGCTTGGCCAAGGCCTTTTGGCAAAGCCAATGGCGCAGGCAGGAGGTCTCCCTGCTCTTGTTCCCGGCTTGTGGCTCCTTCCCCCTTTGGAGAGCAGAGTGTGAGCAGCTCACAGAGCCACTGCTTGGCTTGCCCCATGAGTGGGGAGTACACAATGTTTATGGGGGGCTCCTGAGCCCCCTTGATAGCACCCTGGTAACCAGCTGCCACCAGCACTTTGGACTTTGAACTGCTTCTCATAGAGCTTCTCCATCCAGGTACGAGCCCACGATTGTCACTGTTGTTTCTTGTGCAACCAGGCAGGAGGCCAGGAGGAGCCTGAGAACGTGGATCCTTCATGGGAATGTCCCAGCACATTGTATGGCACAGTCCAAACTGGAAATCATTTTGCTCTGATGGCAAATGTCTCCCCGGAGACAATGCCCAGCATTGAACTCTGGTGGCATGGGGGATGGTGGTGTCTCACCAGGCCTGGAGGAGAAGGAGGAGGTAGCTAGAAGGATATTACAAGGCTTTCCTGCCACTGTTGTCAGTGTTGGATGTTCACCCCATCCCAGCCCATGTGCAATGTCAAGAAGAAACTAAAGCTGGGGAGTAAATTGGCCAGAGCTGTGGTGGGGTCTCCATCATGGTATAACCCCACCACCAACCCACCCCAACCCTTCAGTTACATCATGGTACCAGTTTCCCCTCTCCTCCCCCCACCAAAACTACAGTTTTTGTGCTGAATACATATTCTGTCTTATAAAAATAGTCCTCTGGTATCAAAAGACAAATAAATCAAGAGAGGAATAAGACCCCTGTCGCCAGCAGCAGTGCAAATCAGGAGAGCCAGCTCAGGAAGGATGGGCTTAAGGTGTCCTTGGTTTGTCACTTCTTCAAGGGGAAGGAGGTTGATTGGACTTTGATGGCTGGGACTGGCCTGGGGCAAGAAGAAAGACAAAGGAGACAACTCATTTGAGTGCAGAGAACAAGCATCCACCACCTCCACCACCACCATCCTTCCACAGCTCAGGGAAGCAGCTCATGGCTGCTGCCCCTGAGACCAGAGGGGACATGGGACTGTCACCCCTCTCAAAGATTCAACCCCAAATTGTATTGTTTTCAAGAGTTTTCCCTTGACCTACCCTCAAAACCCTGATAGGACACAGGAGTCCACCAAAGCGCATGGTGACACCAGGCAGCAACCAGCAGTGAGAACTGGGAGCCCACCAGCTATGGAGTGATGTCCCCCAAGGGGTTATTTGCTCTTGGCTTCCTAAGTACAGCCAAGGTGGTATAGAATCACAGAATGGTTTGGGTTGGGAGGGACCTTAAAGCTCCTCTAGCTCCAACCCCTGCCACGGGCAGGGACACCTTCCACTAGAGCAGGTTGCTCCAAGCCCCTGTGTCCAACCTGGCCTTGAACACTGCCAGGGATGGGGCAGCCACAGCTTCTCTGGGCACCCTGTGCCAGCGCCTCAGCACCCTCACAGGGTACAGCTTCTGCCTTAGATCTACCCTGAACTTCCCATTTCAGTTTAAACCCATCACTCCTTGTCCTGTTGTTACAGCACCACCAAGAGACATCACCAAATCAACACCTGATATGGACCACAGAACAAGCCTGTTTTGTCTGCTGGAAGAGATGAGCTACAGGGGTTGAGTTACACTGAGAAATGTTGGGGCATGTTCAGCCTCTTTGTGGTGGCAACTGCAAAGGCATGTGAACCTAAAACAGTGCAGGAGGGTCAAAGCAGTCATTGAGACTGTCTGGAGATGAGGGTCAGCTTGAGTTCAGCATGGTGCCTGCTCTCCATGGCCGGATACATCCCACAAGCCTGGCTAACAGGAGTGGATGCAAGTGTGATCCCTTGAGGCTCCGCTGACCCGTATCCAGAGGATTCAGCAGTACAGCAAGAGTTGAGTTGAAGGTTGTAGTGATATTGTAAAGGACTTGGACTTAATCTCCCAGCTCCAAACTGGAAAACCCTCTCTCCATGTTTTGGACCCTTTGCTGGGGTGCCAAGAGGGGCTACGTCCTGCCCATCTAAGAGCCTCTGGGAAGGCTGGTATTTAATCCCCAGTATCCTGGTTCCCATTCCACTGCTTAACCAAAGGCCATGCCCCCACCAGCAGTCCCCATGGCCCTGCAGGGTGTCTGTGACTTACCTTTGAGGTGGCATCGGCCTGCAGGGGGGAAAGAAGAAAGACCATCAATGTCCATCCCTTCACCCCAGTGTCCCCCAGCAGAACAGCAACAGCTCCCTCCATGATGAGATGGGAGGCCACGTGCACCCCCAAAAGACAGCATCTCCCTCAACCCATCAGGACTTTATAAGACCCAAAGTCCCAACCTTGGTCATTGTTGGCCAACCTTGGCCAAACACTATGGGGTCCTGCCTGGTGGAGGCACGGCTGCAGAGCCTGGGCACGTGCAGGTCTCTGGCTTGGTTGGGCAGGCTCTTCTCCTGCCCCATGCAGGAAGGAGCATGGGCACAGGACTGTCTATGCACACAACAACCCCATCTGGACACATACTTCGGTTATAGTTACTCCTCAGGTAGAATTTGGCATGTCTTCTGATTTCCTTCTTACCTTTGTCCACAAATACCCCAGTCCAGAGATCCACAATGGCCCACAGGCCAGTTTCCCTGAATTTGGTTGGCTTTTTGCTCCTTTGTAGGTCCAGAGAACAAACCCACATACCCCAGAGCACCTGCTCCTCAGCACCCTGTCCTGTGTGCACCAGCCATAGTGGAGAGGAGCAGGAGAAACCCAGGCCACAGTGAAGACACCAAAAGGGGCAGAGCAGAGCACATCACAGTGACATTTGGGATGTCCCACCTGGACACAACCCATAAGACGCCCCTCTGTGTCCACCTGCAGTGGTGGGAAACAGCTCAACTCCTCCCTTAACTTACTTTAATGGCCTCGTGGGGTGGCTCATGGCACTTGTACCCGACATCTTGAAGTTGGTAGGAGGGACCATGACCAGCAGGGTCTGTCCATGTGCAGGAGGCAGCTCTTTGGCCATAAGAGGACATCCAGGCAACGGCCGACGGGGTGGCTGATGCTTTGGGGCGACCTGGGATCACAAAGTGCATGGAAAGAGACAACATCCTTAGAGGAGCAACCAGTGACCTCCTCCAAACCTCTCTGCTCTGCTGCTGAGCTGAGATGCTTCAAAGCATCCAATAACACCCAAACTACCTTAAAATGTTCTCATTTTAATACTCTCATCTGATGAGCTTTCTTCATCATCACAACAGGTTCATCTCTTAGGGTTGGTATGACAGCTCCTTAACAGTGCCCAACCCAAAAGAGCCACAGGCAGCCAAAACCCATGGAATTTCTATGAGTCCAGAAGGAAAATACAGCCAAAGCTCACCAGTGGGGTCCTCATGGGGCTGCAGGGAAGAGGTCTCTTTGGAGGTGGCAGCTTAGCCTGGGACACAGCTGCTTTGGTGGGCACCATGGGTGATCTGCAGACTGGAGGTGGTGGCCTGGCAGGTTTGGGGTCTCTTGGGCGCAGGGGGATGGAGTGAGGAGCTGGGCGAAGAGGGTGGACAATGTTGACAGGCTGAGAGCTGGGTCTGGAGGGGAACGTGGCCCGTGTGGCCTGCAGGGATGAGAAAAGAAGAAGCATGGAGAAAATCCTTAGGTGAGTTCTCCTGGGTGCTGGACAGCAGATGTTCCCTCACAGTCTGGTGATAGGGAGCAGCAGGAGGAGCACTGGGTATTTATTCACTTTCTGGGAACACCACTTTCACCATCCAGCCCAAACACTGTCCATGTTTGCTCCTGATGACTATATGAGAGCATACAGGGATGGGAAAGGTGCTGGTCCCAGGACACCTGGAGCAGGGTCAGCTCTGCTGAATCCGTTTCCACAGACAGAATCATCGAATGGTTTGGGTTGGAAAGGACCTTGAGATCCAGCTCCCATCCCCTGCCTTGGGCCCGGACACTTCACACTAGACCATGTCTCCCAAGGCTCTGTCTAACCTGGCCTTGAACTCTGCCAGGGATGGAGCATTTACCACTTCTCTGGGCACCCTGTGCCAGCGCCTCAGCACCCTCACAGGGAAGAGCTTCTGCCTTATCTCTAACCTGAACTTCCCCTGTTTCAGTTTCAACCCATTACCCCTTGTCCTATCACTCCAGTCCCGAATGAAGAGAGAAGACATCTGCCCTGCTCTCAACCACTGTGGCCATGCTCAAAAAACCTCAATTCTTCCCAAATTCAGGCCCGGAATTACCCATCCCAGGCTCAGCAGAGCTGACACAAACACAGCAGAAACCTCTGTCTCCAAGAAGCCCAACATAAAGTCATCAGGGGGGTTGCACAGCCCTTGCTAAGCTTTGCTGTCGTGATGGGCAACTTGCCAGCTGAGGCTCCTGGCAATCACCAGGGTCTTTCTGAGCAGGCAGAGCTCAACAGACTCACTTTTAGGAGGGATGTGTAGTACTGACCGAGGGTTCACAGTGTAGACACAACACATAACCATCAACGAGCACCAGTTGCTTGCCCAGTTGCCAGAGGTAGATGTGATCACCCACAAGCATAAAGTGCCAGGGAGGGAAAACAAACGTGGAAGGTGATTTATAACTTACTTTACTAGTATGGCTGGAGGTGGAAATGTTCCTCAAGGTGAAAGCAGCTTTGGGATGGCCACTGGTTGACTTCCGACCGACGGTTCTGTTCCTGCTCAGGATCACAAATGCAAATCAGAATCATAGAATCAGCTGGGTTGGAAAAGACTTTTAAGATCATCAAGTCAAACCTTCACCCCAGCACTGCCCAGTCCACCACTAAACCATGACACTAAGGGATAAGCACTGGGTGAGCAGGGATGACAAGTCTGTCTTGAGATACAGAGGGTGATGAAGGTGGTTGCTTGGTCTTCTCAGGCTATTGCAGGGGTTCTGAGGTACGTGTGTGTCTGTACCTGTACTGGAGGGTGAAACAATCATAAAGACATAGAATCACAGGCTGGTTTGGGTTGGAAGGGACCAGTTCCAACCCCCTGCCACAGGCAGGGACACCTTCCACTAAAGCAGGTTGTTTAGACACTCTCACAAAATGAGAATATCTAAATTCAGTGCTTCTTTAGAGCCCCTCCAGTTCTTGCAGCCTGCTAGGAGAAGATGGAAAGAAAGCTCCTCAGTACCAGGCCACCTTCATCGTCACACTCTGAGGTTGTCCTGTCCATGGGACCATCCCTGATCTGTGCTCAGGGAAAAGCTGAGAGCCTCCGGTTTTCCCAGGAGAGATCTCTTCATATCTCAAACCAGGTCTCAACCATTCCTACCAGGCTGGGTGCTGCCAGAGGCAAGAAAACAAGGTTTCTGTCTCACTGGGTCCTCAAGAGAGAAGGGAATTAGGAGGCATTCGGACCCACCTGTGTGTCTCCCGGCTCCTCCTCCTTATCTCCTTTATCCATTTATTCAGGAGCGAGTTCTCCCGCCGGTACCAGAAGTAGATGATGACCATCAGGGCCGGGAGGAAGAGCAGGAAGATGAGCAGAAGGGTTATTAAGATGGCTTCATGGTCTGGCAGGGAAAACACAAAGAAGAGTGTGGGGCTGGGAGAGACTTCACCTCTGGCTTCACTCAGTGGAAACGTTGGTCCCATCTGCCCATTCTCAGCCACCCAAACTAGAGACATCATTGTTGATCAACCACCAAAAAGAGAGCAGAACCGTCCGGTGGTCTCTGATGGGTGGCCACCAAGCTGGGCACTGAATGTCTGCTGAATAGACCCAAACCAGCACGTCTGGGAGCAGAGCTGTCAGCAGCTTTATCACCCCATTTGCCTCTCTCATGGCACTGCTCCAGCCCCACCAGTGTCACAAGGCACCAGATGGAGTTCCAACTCACTGTCGCGCTGCACAGGGCCACTGTCCACGCTGCCACCCAAGCCTGGCTTCTCACAGTAGGGGGGAGCCCAGCCAGCGTCACAGTGACAGTTCTTGTTGCTGTTGCAGACCTGCAGAGAGAAGAGAAGGGTTGGAGACCACAAGGGAGGTGTGGAAGTCATAAATCCCAGAGTGGTTTGGGCTGAAAGGGACCTTAAAGCTCATCCAGTTCCTACCTTTCTAAGATCTCATCTCAATCTCCCCCTTGTCCTGTCCCTCCATTCCTTGTCCAAAGCCCCTCTCCAGGTTTCCTGGAGCCCCTTTAGGCCCTGGAGCTGCTCTAAGGTGTCCCCTTCAGGAGCCTTCTCTTCTCCAGCTGCCCCAGCCCAGCTCTCTCAGCCTGGCTCCAAAGCAGAGCTGCTCCAGCCCTCGCAGCAGCTCCGGGGCCTCCTCTGGACTTGCTCCAGCAGCTCCACATCCTTATGTTGGGAATGATGGTCCGTACGGTGGGGGTGAGAGCAGACAGCCAGTGGAAGGAAGCCAGGCTGAAGGAACCTAGGCCCTGTCAATAATCCCCCCTTGAACATCACCTGGATTGTGCTTGGGTTGCCCTCAAATCTGTGACTGTGATGTACAGAGATGTTTCCTTGACGATACTTTTATTTCCCTGCTCTTTGCAGAAACCCTGAAGGCAGGTATCTTACAACCTCAGCTTTCACACTGCTTGACTGGACAAGCTGTATGTCCTTAATACTTTATGTTAGGCCAGGGGTTTGTTAAACATCTTCCCCTCAGGGTCTCTCCCATTAAACCACAGCATTTCTGAAGCAGAGAATCCAAGCCAAGAGCCTTAACAACACTGAGCAGAATGGAAGGGTAAATTTGGGTGGTTTACATATCACATTTCTCTACGTAATCCAGCAGTGATTCTTCTACAGCACTTTATTGTTGTCTTATTTGGCAAAGCCGCCTACAGAGGTCAAATCTCTGTAGGCTTTAAGCTTTGGACAACAGTGGTTCTTCCTATTCACTGAACCACTTCCCTCCTTTTTGCAGTCCCAATTGTCTTTCTAACTCTTGTTTGCTCTCAGAGGGAACAAGCACCTGCTCCAAGCACTAAAGACTCTCCAGTTCAAGCTAGACCCTGATCCAAGTTTTGCAGATGGTCCTTACATCACAAATGATCTTCCTCTACCCTGGCCATGGGTGAGCAAAGCTCCGAGCTCAGCCTCACCCATAGCTGATGCATGAGACAACTATGAAAAGCAGATGCCCTTTGCATTGCAGGGCTCATCCCTATGGGAGACACTTGGTTTTGCTTCAGAATGTGTCTCATCTCGGGAGCCTGCTGGAGGTCTCAGGGAGTAACTCACCCCATGGCCGTTGCACCGGGAAACACACTTTTCCAGCTCAAAAAGGGAGGCATTCTGGCACCGGCGATCCTTGCAAACCTGAGGGACAGCCAAGAACCTGTGGTTAGAGAAAGACCCAGGAGAAGGACAGGGATCTACAGCTGGGAATGTTCTGGAAGGATGCTGTCAATTGCAAAGTGTAGAATCATAGAATCCCAGACTGGTTTGGGTTGGAAAGGACCTTAAGATCATCCAGTTCCAACCCCTCACAACGGGCAGGCACCCCTTCCACTAGAGCAGGTTGCTCCAAGCCCCTGTGTCCAACCTGCCCTTGAACACTGCCAGGGATGGGGCATTCACAACTTCCTTGAGCAACTTGTTCCAGTGCCTCACCACTCACACGGTAAAGAACTTCCTCCTTACATCTAACCTAAACGTCCCCTGTTTAAGTTTAAACACATCAGCCCTTGTCCTATCACTACAGTCCCTGATGAAGAGTTCCTCTGCAGCATCCAAAATGCAGCTGGTTAAATCACACTGTGCCAGGTCAGTGCATTTCACTCCAGTTTTCAGCACAGCCCAGGAAACCTCTGACATTCCGTCATCCAGGACAGCTCAGAGGAGACCAGCCACTACCACTCCCACCCTTCCCTTGACAATCCATCTGGCAGCTCCTGGAGAAGGCATTTCCCATCTAGCCCTAAAACCCAGGCACCAGCCAAGACAAAACAACACTGGATTTCAAACCCAGCCATCCTTCCTCATGAAAATGTTGACATTTTGGCTTTCCACCCCAAACCAGGATGATTTCACAATTAAACTGCCAAACAGCAAAGGGCTCATCTCCATGGCCAAGGCTGTCTGGTGCGCATCCCTGCTACTGTGTTGTCTACCTGTCTTCTGCCCTTTCTCAGCTGAATTGAGCCTCTGTAAAGTATTTGGAGATGCAGGAGCTGGAAAAGAGACTAATACTCAGTTAACAACATCTGTTTGGATCTCTTGACTTGATCCTTAACACTTCCCTAACACACATTCTCTAAGGTTTCCCCTGGGAAACTATTTATTCATAGAAGGAATCCTCATCCATCAAGCCCTGGGGCGTGCAATTCTTGTTGGGGTCACTCCATTATGCATGAAATCAGTAAAGAAGCATGGAGGCCAGAGAGAAGAATTTGGTGGCCTGCACACAAGCATCTGGTGATGTGTAGAAATGCTCTGGTTGAGATGTCACCAGGGAAATGTCTGCAAGTGTGGAGGAAACCACATCCCATGGACCGGCTGTAATGCAGAGAAGAGCCAATATCCACATTGGAGCTGGGATACGAGCCAAGGAGATGTCAATCTGTAAGAGACCCCAAGCCTTAGGAAGAAGTACTCACCATCCCATCTCCACATTTAGTCCCTGTCATCACCAGCCCGGGGTCAGAGAGGTCTTCCTCATCATCCTTCGCAGTGTACATGTAGGTACCACGGCACTTCACCTCCCGCCCGTTGAAGCGGATGGTGGTGTCGATGGACACAGTGTTGGTCCCCTGGGGCTTCTTAGCTGAGCTCTGGCACTGGATCTTGCCACACATGGCATCCCTAGGAGCAGGGCACAGAGAGGTGAGGACAGATGTGGGTACCAGTCACTTCACCCTCCCTGCCCCATCTGCCCCATTGCCCGCTGGCTCCTGTCCCTCTGATTTATGACCATGTTAGGTTAGGTGGAAGAGTCTCAACAGGTTCAGAAAGGACTTAGATATCATGGACATCGCAGGGAAATGGTGAAAGGAACAGGCAAGGGGGGTCCCTCTAACATCCCTGGTCAAACTGGGAATGCTGGAGAGCACGTGCTCCCTAAACAGCGCCCTGCTGATGCTGGCTTTGATTTTCCCTTCAGGCTGGGCTGAGAGGTGATGTGTGGTGGGACAACCTCCCTGCAGTGATGGAGCCCAGGAAGGACCTGCTGGCTTCCTCAGGTCCAAAATGGAGTTGGCCCAAGGGGTGATGCCAGGAGATTGGGGTAGGATCCTGCCAGTCCCTTCACAGGGTGCAGGAGGAGGAGATGGAGATGGGGCACCCATGGGTGCCAGCACTGCACCCACCTCTTGTCACATTTCACGTAGCGCCCTTGGCTGTCTTTGCCACAGTTGCCGTAGGTGTTACCAGCCATGTTTACGTCCTGGAAACAGGCATCTGGGGCTGGCCAGGCACCTACAGAGGAAGGAAAGGTCCATGTGGGATGGGCAACGCAGCCAGTGGGGAGAAATACTGAAACTGGGAGCAGCAGCTGGATGCTGAGAGGGAAAACACCATGGAAAAGGCTCCTGCAGAGCTGCTGCTGCGGGTGCCAGGCCAAGAACAGCATAAGAATCCCAGGCTGGTTTGTGTTGGGAGGGACCTTAAAGCTCCTCCAGCTCCAACCCCTGCCACGGGCAGGGACACCTTCCACTAGAGCAGGTTGCTCCAAGCCCCTGTGTCCAACCTGGCCTTGAACACTGGCAGCTCAGATAGGGCATATAAGCTGCGGATTGTATGTAGAATGGGGGCCATATGCAGCCGTATGCAGCCTGCAACTGCACAACACATTTATGTATGTGTATATATATATACATAAACCCACATATATGAAGTGTGTAACAACCATACAAAGCATCCTGCCATGTGGGAGGGGTCCCTCCCCATGGCAGGGGTTTGGAACTAGGTGATCTTAAGGTCCTTTCCAACCCAACCCATTCTTCCATTCTATGATTCTATGATTCTATTTACAGGTTATGAGCCACATCCCCTATGGGCCATGTGCAGTATAAGGTCTGTAGGCAATGTGGGGCCCATATGCAGAATATGAGCTAACGAAAGCCAGGAGTCACAGTCTGTGCAGGGTACAAGCTGCACACAGTGTTGAAGCCATAGGTAGTCTGTGGGCTACACTACAGTATGGGGGTCACTTACAGAGTATGGAGTCAGGCACAGCACAGGGATCATGTGCAGCATAGAATCATAGAATCCAAGAGTGGCTTGTGTTGGAAGGGACCTTAAAGCTCCTCCAGCTCCAACCCCTGCCACGGGCAGGGACACCTTCCACTAGAGCAGGTTGTTTCAAAGACCAGGTTGCTCTTGCTCCAGAGAGGAGGCAGGGCTGGGGCTGGTGGGACTCACCTGGTCCCCAGAGCTGGACACACTGCTGGTGGTGGGTCATGCACATGCCGTTGTTGCAATAAGCCTCGCCATAGGCACAGGAAGAGCCATCCAGCAGGTACACGTTGGCTGGGCAGTAAGGTGAGGCACCCGTGCAGTATTCAGGGAGGTCACAGGATCCTGCTGCATCCCTGCAGATCGTCCCAGCCACCTTCAGCTGCCATGGGAGGAGAGAAACATCAGCACTGAACATCAGAGGCCAAGGTAGGATTGCTGCTGCCTCCTGGCACAGCTTGGGACCATAAACCATCTATAATGTCCTCTGTGGGACTATATGGGGCTGTCAAGGTATAAAGCAAATGTCCTGAGTAGGACCCAGCCACAAAGCAGCCAGCAGAGACTCTCCTGTGGAGCCCTCATTTGGCACTGGGGGGTTTGACCTTATGGACATGCAACACACGAATCCCAAGGGAATGGTGGAGTCTGCATCTCCCTTCTCATCCCATGGGTGGTCCTGGTGGGGGCACGGTGGAGGTCTCACCTTGCAGCTCTGGCAGCAGTCACCGTGGGCACACTGGGCCCCCTCCTTCAGTGTGCAGTTGTGAGCGTTGCAGCACGGGTTGGTGCACTCCTGTGTGGGGAGGAGAAGACGACACCACCAGGGTCAGTGATTCCACCCCATCCCCGTTGCTGCCCCCAATTCCTTCTCCACCCATCACAGCATTGCCCTTCTCATTTGGGGACACTGAGGCACAGGGGGGTGAGGAAGAACTGAGCAATTTAGGACAAAGTCAAGAAGAAAGTCAGGGCCAGTCAAATGGGTTTAGGAAGGTGGGACTGGGAAAAGCCCTTGGGATGGAGTCCATGCGGTGATCAGCAAACTCCTTTCCTTTGGAAATACATGGTCCATGTGCTGCCACCCTGAGCTGAGCTGCAGAAGCCTCTGCAGGGAAGCGATGCAGACCCAGCACCGTACCTCCACCTCCCCGCAGTCACAGTCCTCTCCTTCCTCCAGAAAGCCATTGCCACATTTCCGTCCCACCACCAGGTCCTTGGTGTCGGGCAGGTTGAAGAGACACATCCCACCTCCCTTCTGGAAGTAGTTCTCCAGCTGCCTCTTGCTGCAGGAGCTGAACACACGAGGGAAGGGGTGTCTGCAAGGGGATAGATAGATGGGGAGGGAGGAGGACCAGGACCAGGAGAAGGTGGAAAACCACAGTTAGAACTGGGATATTAGGACATGGGCAAACAAGCACAAACCCTTCCAAAAGCAGAACCCAGAATCATGAAGACCATGAACATCTCCCACCCCAACTCTCACAGACGAGCACCACAACAACAACCAGACTAACTAACTAACAACTAATCAGTTGGGACACCACTGAACCCAAATACTCTCTGGAAAGGGATGGGGTGGACAATCAGAGCTGCTCTACACCACCTCCATCGAGAAACCTTGGAGACTGGAGACCCCATGGTCTGCACCTCAAAGCCCAGGAGCACCCATGCTTACAGGCTTTTGTTGGTGCAGGTGACACCCTTGTGCCTTGGTCCCTTGCACATGGGATGCTGCAAACCCCCCCATTCTAACCACAAGGCACATCTGCAGTGATGATCTGCTCAGGATGTCTGCTGAACATGTGTCTGTCATCTCTGATAGGAAATACCCGTTTGGGGCTATTTAAATACCTCTGAGGTTGAGATGGACCAATGTAGTTTTAAAAATCGAAGAAATAGGGAAAAGAAACATATATAAAAGCCTCAAATTGAATCATTCACAAGACCTTAACTAAAATCAGAGCCTACAACATGTAAGGTCGTTTCTCTCACAACCCAACTGGCCGTTCCCATATGGGGCTGAAAAGGAGCAGTGATTTTTGGAGCTCTGAGCATGCTCCTTCCATCATTTTGCACAAGTTTGTGGCTTTTTTTGTATGCTGTACTGAGAAGGAGGAAGCAGAGAGTAAGAGCTGGGCACCTCTGCCTGCATCAGAGCTGGTTTCATTTCCTACTATCACTGAAAACAAGAGGTTTATTTCACATGAGACATTTCTGAGATGACACAAAGGGCTTTTTCTAAAGCTGTTTTTGATGTCTAGGGGAAATCTCTCACGCTGCAAGTCCAAGCAAGTTATGGGAAGGTGAACAAAATACACCCAATAAGCTGGTACATGAATGTGCAAACAGGGACAGGTTGAAGACAAAAATGTGTTTCCTGCCCATGTGGGGAAAAACCACCATATTTCAGCAGAAATAAGGAGGAAGAAATGACTCAGGGAGGATGTGTCAGCTCAGAAAGCTTTGCCTCTGCGGTGAGCAGGGGCACAGCTGAGCTATAGCACCTGCTGCTGCTTTGCATCACTGTGTCTGCATCCAGCCCCATGTGGGGGGGATACTTAATAAGGATATATAAAATATAATATATAATATATAACTATATTTTTATATATACATAACTATATAACAT